CGCCGGCTCAGGGTTAGCCCAACCGTCCATTCTTCCGAGGAGGGTAAAATGAGGACCCGGATTGTTGTTGGGGGCAATATGCTGACTCTGTAAACCGCTTAGAGAGGGATGAAAGCCCTATGAAGCGGTATATAAGTCTAACTGCTATTGCTATTGCTATTTTTTAAAAAAACCATTTGGATTACGATGCAAATAGCAATGTAAAATTGCTGATGGACTGTACCATCTCAGATTGCAGTTTGGTGGGGGGGGAGTCATGTTTGAATTCTCCTCCTTGAATTCTCCTTCCGAAATTAATACATGAAAAGAACTGCACATAAAAAACAGCATGTCCAGGAGCTGGTTGTAGACTCAGTGTGTCTGAACTGTATGTCTGTCTCGGGGGTGGGTTGTTCCTGGCATTACTGCCAATTCTGTGCATGCAAAAGTTTTGTGTGTGCGTGCTCACTTCACTCGCGCGCACGCCAGACGTGTGCTCTGCACGTGTGCGCATTTGCACCAAAATTGGTCTCCGCATGTGCATAATGTTAAAAAAGGGGAAAAATTTAATTTCTGCAATTACAATTGTTCTGCGCATGCACAGAACCAAGAATCAAGATGGCGGCCCCGTAGGAGAACCAGTCCAGGGGCGTGGCAGGCCTGGGTCGCTACCGGTTCCAGTGACCCAGGCTGCCAAATCACTACTGGTTTGGCCGAACCAGTCCGAACCAATAGGAACCCTCCTCTGGTCTGTCTGGACTTGCACCAGTGGTGGGTTCCGGATCCTGTCGCAACTGGTATGGTGCAACGGGGCTTGGCATCCTCCACATGAATGCGTGCAGCGCACACATGCATCCTTACCTCCTGCAACCCTCCGCAACGCTCCAGCTGCTTGACAGAGCGCTTCGTGCGCGTGCATGGAAGCACCAGAGAGCTCAAATTCCTATGAGGAGTGCAGGCAGGCGGGTGGGCCCTCTGGAACACCGTACCGGAATGGTACCCGGTGCTCCCGGCAGGCATCGGTACGCCCGTACCAGGGCGTACCAGTTGTAACCCATCACTGACATGCACACACAGAGAATGGCCCAAGTCCACCTCAGTAGTGACATCTTTGCATGTTAACCCTTTGAGACAGACCAAGAAACAGGGCATGGTTCCTACCATGGTTTTTATAGTTGCAGGATAGAATAACAGAACCTTGAAAGGCTGCCAGCATTTCCTTCTGCACCATCTTATACTTCTTATTATACCAAATCAAGGTGGGGATATTGAGCTTTTTTTTTCTCATGTTACCCTCTTTCTTAGGACTGAAAGATCTTTCCTAAAAGTTCACTCCTTCTGTCTGCATTCCTGTTCTGACCTAGGCTTCATAAAATCATGAAGCGGACTCCTTGTCCCGAAAAAAACCCCATTTTATTTGGCTAATGTGAATTCCTAAGTATTCACATAGAGAAACGTCTCGGCAATAAGCCTTTCAAGGGTGAACTGCAACAACAGACCTTATCAGTCCTTGGATAAGTGCCAGCCCGAGCTTCCAGTCACAATGCTGTAAAATGGCTCTTTGAGGCCGTAACTCAGATAAGCAAATCTTCATACTAATAAATGAACTCATTGTCTCCGGCAAACACCACTCCCCTTTTCCTCCAATTTATTCCCCATGGGTGGGACCATTCAGTGTCGACTTGTGCCTTTATTCCTGAGTAAACCCCTGTTCCTTAATTGTTCCCTTCTCCTGACAGCTCTGCGCATACCCGCATCTGGAACAGGCTCCAGTTGTTCTTCTGCCCCACTTATCTCCGACTCCGAAGGTAGCTGATAACTGTCAGGCGGCCCTGGCCACATCTCTGCCTCCGATGCAGAGCCCTCGTCAGAGCCTTCCCCAGACTCCAGGACTGGCCCATGGTCCTCCCCAACCTCCTCACTGTCCGATTCTGCTGTCAGCTCCACTGACTGCTGGGGGGGGCCAAACAATTCCCAAGACTAGGCCTACATCCCTTCCCACTGCGTGATTGAGGCTCTTTTCTCTCAGCCTGACCCACTACACAAGATTGTTGAGGCAGAAAGAGCTCTGTGTACATTGCTTTGAACTCCTGAATGAAAGTTGGGATAAATCTAATAAATAAATAGGCAAAAAAGGGATAGTGGCAATGCTACGTTTGCACTCTCACAGATGTTCACCCTGTGTAGCCGCAGCTGTTTTATCTTCTCCCCCTGGTTTCAGTTCTTTCCGTTTATGCTAGTTACTTCTTTTATNCCTTTGAAAGACTGTTTGCCAGGCCTTTGCTGAATGTGAATGAGAGGAATTCACATTGGTTTAACAAAAGGGGTTTTGTCGGGACCAGGACTTTGCCTCCTGCTTTTGGGGGGAAGCCGACGTCAGAACAAGGACACTCACAGGCTTGAACCAGGTCCGTCAGAAGCCGAATGCCTCCTGCGTAATAGAGAGGGTCCTGGTCCGGCTTGCTGAGTTTCTGAAGCATCTCATTCACGGCAACGGCGGTGAGTTTCCCAGACTTGAGATCCTCCGATGCTCTTTCCTCCTGGTGGAGTTTTTTCTCCTCCAGGTCTATTTCATTGATGCAATCTGGCAGCGGGAGAAAGTAGAATCGGCAGGTAGGAAGAGGAAAAATGTGGGACGAAATCAGTGGTGGGATTCAATTTTTTTTTTACTACTGGTCCTGTGGGCGTGGCATGGCTGGATGGGCGTGGCTTTGTGGGCCTGGCAGGGGAAGGATACTGCAAAATCCCCCTTCCCTCCCCACCCCACTAACCTGCTTCCCAGCTCCCTTCTCCTGTGCAGGGCAACAGAAGAAGACCCAGCCGATCAGATGGGACTCGGGAGGCAGTGAATAGATGGGGGCGTGGCCAGCCAGAGGTGGCATTTGCCGGTTCTCCGAACTACTCAAAATTTCTGCTACCGGTTTGCCAGAACCGGTCAGAACCGGCTGAATCCCACCTCTGGGTGAAATGAACTGAGGTTAATGACATGATCCTGACTCGAAGCAACTCAGGGGGGACAATTGCCACTCCCGTTATTCAGGAAGAGCGTTTGGTCTTTCGGTGATTAGCCGGACAAGGGCCAGCGGGGAGAGGTGGGAAGTCTTACCTTTGCACAGCTTCTCCTTCTGGGGGTCAATTTCTAAAATCTTCAGGTAGCATTCTCTGGCCTGGAAGGAGGAGGAAGAAACAGATGCAGGAAGAGAGAATGAAGAAAAGGCTGACATGGCAAAACTGACTACTCCGATAAGTAAGAGAAGAGAAGTACTTTCAGTCTCCACACGGAATTTCGTGCTTGATGTGGAAAAAGAGTGTAACTCTGGCTTTGGGTTTTACAGATTAGATGGCTAGAGCTTTATAGAAATGACTTGTTTATATTATTTATCATTATTTATATAATGAGCCGAGGTGGCGCAGTGGTTAGGGTGCAGTACTGCAGGCCACTTCAGCTGACTGCTATCTGCAG